ACTTAAAATATAGTTGAATTTAAGTTGGTGGTTGGACATATTTAGCTAGTAGGAATATTCTCTTTCAATTTTCACTGATTCATAGATACCTTTTCCACAGCCTAGGGAACAGTTTTGGTAAATGATTTGTCTCAGTGTATATGGTCTCCATCAAAGTTGGGAACTCACATTAATGCAGTATTGTAGTAACTTATGTCAACAGAATAGGGAGGCATATATATTGTCATGTGATGTACTGGAAGATAGTGGGTCTTTATTTATGGCTCATATCCATTCATTAACTTCAAACATACTTACCTCCACTGACACTATAGCTATTTCTCAATCTCCAGGGTTTCCACTTTTTGCCCATCTAAGCATTGAAAATGCTTGCTCCAGTCTTTATATACCCCGCTTGAATGCCCTTGGCAAATTCTAATTTTCAGATTTCTACCCCAACTTTAATGCACCCTCTATCTAGGTACTATATATAAGCACTTCATTCAGATAATGTAATCACTTTTTCTCGACAGAGCGTTTGGCACGGGTTCTATAATATACAGAAGTGTTGTGATTATTCACATAATTTATGTTGTGACTTTGGACATAGTTGGCCTGACTACAGTTATATTTTCACTTATATTTATTAATTAACTAATTAAAAAAATTAATGTTTCTTCTACAGAGACCAATCAGACCTCTTCTCTTCCACCTCTGCTATCTGATGTTTGTCAATGGCCAGGGGAGGAGTCACTCTCAGTCGATACTGTCCATGATGTGATCCGTTGCAAGATGGAGACATATATGTGGATGGATGGTGTCTCTCTGGGGGGTTCTAAGGTGGCTTTTTCAAATGACTTGGGATCAGCTGGAGAGAATTTAGACTCACTTTTTTCCAGCTCCTTCTTTTACTAGGTTGGCCTCAACAGAAGATCCTCTTGATCAGCCACCTTCAGCCCCATTTCTTCAGTTGGTTACTCAGGTTTGTGAGATTTTGGGGGTTTCTCCTATTGCATTTGACTCTACTCCTTCCTTGTTGCGGAAAGGACAATTAGTGACTACTTGGTTTTTCCTTCTTCTCCTGATATTGCTGTTCCTGCTGGGAGATTTGCTGCTCAGTTATGTGATGGGATAGCTATGCCACCACATTTATCTGAACAGCATGCTTTGGCTTTTCACTGCCAGAGGAGGTATATTTAGATTCTCAATGGATAGAACCCCTTTTGGACCTGTGGAGTTCTAGATTTGAACCTGTGATCACTTTGAACAGATCACAGTTTTCTTGGATTTGTCTTACTCTCACTACTGTCCTGGGGTATTTATCTTCGATCCAACTTTTGTTGGAAGCCTATCAACGTTCCCCTCAGCAATTTGAGGATGAGTTGGGGACTTTGTTGATGTCTACTTCAGTCAGATTGCCTTTTCAGTTTTTTCTCTGGTTTCTTGGCTGGTTTGTTGTTGGGATTTACTGGCTAGAGACACCTTGTTAGAAAATGTTTGTTTATCATCTTCTGCCCTCAAGGAGTTACGAGAAGCTCCTTTTCTCCATCCCATGTGGTTTGCCAACCATGGCTGTTTATCAACAGAAATGGAATACTTATCATCAGTGGTGTATTAAAAAGAATTTAAATCCTCTTCATCCTAAAGTATCTACCATATCCTGTTTTATGACTTGGATGTTTAAGAAGGGTCTTGCTTCATCTACAGTAGCTATATATAAGGCATCCTTATCCACTATTTTTCCGTATTCTAAATATTGGAAGGTTTTTGAATCCTCAGTACTACCAGGTCTACTCAAATCTTTTTGTATTCTTTGACCCAAATTACCGAATTAAGATTTTACAGTTGTTTTACACACATTGTCTCATCCTCCCTTTGAGCCCTTAGCTTCATGTTCTTTATTTCACCGTTCTCTTAAATTGTATTTTTTGTTGTTGTTGGCTTGTGGACATCATCGGTTGAAGTTGTTTGCAATCCATGTGCATCAAACTCTTTATCGTTCTAGATTTGTCCTGCATTACTCTGACAGGTCTTTTCTTCCAAAGACTCTGGCAGCTAAGGAAGGAGAACGATCCTTCACACCAATTCATTTGCCAGCCATTTCTCACCTTTATAACCATTCCGATCCTGATCGTTTGTTATGTCCTGTTAGGACCCTCAAGTGTTATGTGGCTCATACTAATTCGTTTTGATTATTCATTCATTGGAATCCTTCTGTTTCCCATGACTTATCTCCCATTACTCAAACATGTTGGCTTTGTAAGTTGATTCACATTGCCTTTTATGGATTATCATTACAGGAGATGAATCTTTTGCATGTCACTTCTCACCAGATTTGTCATATCTCTATTTCATTAGCTGCCCAGTTGAATTTCCCTCTGGAAGACATTGTGCGGGTTGATATGTGGACTACTCCTAATACTTTCCTATCTCATTACTTACATGATCTGGCAGTTTCCTCTTCTGAGGGTTTTCAATGCTTAGATGGGCAAAGAGTGGAGACCCTGGAGATCGAGAGATAACTACAGTGTTAGCAGAGCTAACTATTATTGGAAATACATTTTCAGTTTAGGAAAATGTTAACTTTTATGATCATGTCATGTTCCAGGAGTTATAAATTTCTTGGCAAGTTGGCATTTTCATTCAGATATTTTGCCCACTTAATGGCCTTTTCATGTAATGCCTTTTGTTCATTATTGTCAGAAATTCAGATGCTGTATGAGTGATGATTTTGTCACTAGTGGGAATCATAATATACTTTTTTTCATCTTCTATTCCATATCCATCTATTTTAACAGTGGGTGCAGTGGCCAAGGAATGGACAAGCTAGATTCTTTAAACTTATCCTCTTTTGCAGCCTTAATGAAGGTGCTTTGCAAAACCTGATATAGCAACTGCAATGTTCTACTAGTAGTTCCTTTCTTGAAACATATTCTAAATCAAGCCATTAATTTTCCATTGTGATGTTGCCAGATTACATTTCACATTTGGCTTGCCCAAAAGATATTGTTAGAGCAAAGGATTCTCAGCACAGTGGATCACCTGCTTCTGAAAGAAACCTTCCGTGACTGTTTTTCAGTCAAGGTAGGAAGTTTTTTTGCAATAGTGTTTTCATCATGGATTACAACCTTTGTATTCTTCAATGACTCAATTGTGTTTTTACTTTTGATTCCTATTTAGGGGGAACTGTTTATTAGTTTCAAGACTGTGAAGACAATTCTTTTACTTTCTGTTGGGATTATTTTCCTCTTCAGGTACTCATTTATTTAAAAATTTGTTTGTAGCATGTTACTTTTATCATCATAATTTTGGGATATTGGTTTACAAGTTTGTTTCAAAAATTTGTTTGTAGCATGTTTACTTTTATCATCATAATTTTGGGATATTGGTTTACAAGTTTGTTTCAAAAATTTATTTGTAGCATGTTTACTTCCTTTGCTTTAGGATCTGAATCCTTGCATGGGATGACAGTAACTTCCTGGGGAAACACTGTACTTTGTAACACTATCCCATTTTACTTCAAAATGATTAGTTTGGTTACATCTTTGTAACACACACACACACACACACCTCTGCTCAGGAACAGGGTTTGAAAGTACAACTCATCCTCAGTTATATGTGGCCAATATTTATGAATCATACAGCAACTATATAGAGTGGTCCAACACAGTATGGGTTTTGCTTAAAGTCTGGTTTTGTGTATGTCCTGGACATCTTCCCATTGTTGAATATGATTCTTGTCATCTGTGCTTGTATTTTTCATATGCAGTTGATGAACGTATTTGAGTAGCAACTGAAAGTGTCACTTCTTGTTAGATCTTTAGATCATTCATCATTTTTGTCATATCTACAAACAGCAGTGTGTCTGTACTGCTATGACAGATATGCATTCCTTAGATATCTGGATATTACAATTCTATTAATTAGCATTATTTCTCTCACCCTTGTAGTTTCTTTGGATACCAGTAATCAGTGACAACTGCTTCTTTTTCATTCTCAAGAATTTCAGGCAACTTTCTCTCATTCTGCCTCTATTTCAGTGCAGGTTTTCCAATTAAGGGTGTAACTCAAAGAAACGTTTACATCCTCACTCCTGTAGATTTTTGAAGATAAATATGACCATATAAAGTTGGATAAGTACTAGGTAGAAGAAGTATCACAGTATAATTTATTGTTAATGGTGTAATGTTTCTACCAGTAGAAAATGTAAGGCATATGATAAAAAATGCAAGATTGGAACAAGATTACAAATAAATTGCAAATTGTAGCTGATACAGCACAGAGGGAGGAGTAGAGAAGAGTGAGAGGTCTGTGTCTTAGGGTAATGGTTAGGTACAGCTGTACAAATACTGATTTTTGATAATAATGAAAAATATCATATAAAAATTTCATGGGAAACTTCAAATATTTTCTAGTTTATAGACATAACTGTATTAGAAAATTCTAAAAAAGGTGTTTTGAAATCATAGAACATATATACACCATAAAAATATTGTTTAGCAATAAAATTATTATTAATTTATTTATAACTAATTGCAAAATTGTGTATTATAATGTCAGTCTTAGTTAGGTTTTTGGCATTAAAATTAGGATGGAAGAACAGTGTTACTTGCCACTGATCCCTTTCTGGTCTGCTGATGAATAAATGTATCAGTTTAGATGGAAATCATTTTGGGATACAGACATTACAATATTTTAACTAGCATACCTGAAGGCCTAAGTGAAATTAAGCAGAATTTGTAGTAAATATATTGTTTAGAACCTAATATTACAGTAGTAGTTTACAGAACTCATAATTTAATTCATGCAATGTAATTAAAGATAGCCTGGTGCACCTCAAAATATTCTGCTTATAGCTATAACAGATATACTATTTTAAGGCATAAGAATCAACAGCTAACAGAATAATATTTTTCAATAAAACTCCAGACATTTTAAGACATCAGTACCTAGAATTCAGTTCTCTGTATCATTTACATGTATATATTTAATTAACATGATAGCTTTATGGTGTTTATTAGGTCCGAAAGATTCCAATGGAGGAAATTCAAACAGAAATGAAGGACATTGACCATCAGCAAGATAAACTGGAAAATATTGGTCGAGAGATTGAGATGAAGATTAGAAACCACAAATCAGGTATGTTTGCTTGTTAGAAAATGCAGATATTCTGAGAGAATAAAAAGTTTTTTTATAAATTCCATACACTATTTATTGTTCTCCAACAGGAAATCATGGTTAATACCTTATGGGTTTTTTTACAGACAATTAATCACATTTATTTGAATGATTTTCAGTACTGATGCAGTGGCATATTACTGCAGATGTGAGGTGTGGTACCAAGGGTGGCATGTTCAACACCTATATATTTGGTTCATAGCAAATTTATGACAATTTAATAATGCATTGCTGCCAAAGGGAGAGTGATGGTTGGAAGGAAAAATATTCAATATTTATTCAGCTAAATTGTTAAACATTGTAGAGCCAGCCAAATGACACAACATGTCAGAAAGGGAACATTCAATGTTTTCCATGTTATCAGAAGGGCTTGAACAATAGAGTATTTGGAACAACTAAAGATTTTGAAACCATACTCCTAATGCTAGTTTGGAGCAATGCCCTCATCTGAAAAGTGAAAGTTATGGTCTTGAAAGATAACTTTTTGACCTGAAAAGCCATTGCAATAAAGTTGGGCATATATCTTGCTATCATTAACAAAATAATAAATGAGAATTTGTAGTTGACAAAGACTGATAAGTTTTCAGTCACATTTCAAAATTTACAACAGTTTTTGTCAGAAAGATGGCTTAAAACTGGAATCACGGTATTACTATTTGACCACATATCTATCATATATCCTAATGCAACTCCAATATTCTTTTATGCTTAAAAGTGGTCTTGGAAGCCAATATCTGTTTACAGTAAAGGATCTGTAAACGTTTGCAAAGGTGGATAGGATTCACCTCATAATCCTTCAAAGAAGCTTGTTACAATAGAAATTGGGCTGTTGAGCAATGATGCTTGCTCATGACTATAAAAGTGAGTATGTCAACAGTGGAGGGAGTAGTTCAAAGGGTAGCATAGACCAATTGTTGCATGGTATCAAGAACATTATCCTTATAAAAAGTCCAATTAACAGCACGGGTATGGTCCCTGGGACCGACCTCATAACCATTTTGTGCTTGTTATAGTTTTCATGCTATAACTTTTAAATTAGTAAGTGAATGTTAATGAAATTTGCCAGATTATCAGTAAACATTACAATGCTTTCATACGCAAAATATCAATTTTTTTTTATTAAGTGTTAAGGTTTGTAAAGCAATGTTTTTTCATGCCTTTTTTTTTCTTTTCAAATGTTCCCTATCTATCATGCAAAGTAATTTTCATTTTAAGAACATTTTCAAATTTCACATGCAATATCTTTATAATATCCAGATAATTATCAAACGTTTCTTAGGAAAACTTTATATTTTTATCTGTTATTTTCAGTAATTAATCTCTTTATGGGTTTGGTCAATTTGACTTATCTCACAACCACCATAAAAAATTAGGAAATAAATATAAATTATGCCTCTTTCATTCTAGAATAAACACAGATTGTAACACAAAAACATAAATATTTAGAATAAATAGCTTAAATCTCATTACACAATACATTTATATATATTTAGTATTTTTATTATATTGACCTATCAGCCGTGCCTGGCTGACACTACAGAAGTTACAATGACGTGGCTCACGTGAACTCATGTTACCATATCAAATAACTTAAAACTGACCTTTGGTCTATACGAAGTAACTTGTCTTGGCTGTGTTCTAGTAGACTAGTATTT